GATAATATTTAGACAAGGCCTTGGTCAAAGTGGAAGTTCTCTCCTCCCTTCAGAGAAAGGTACCTCCTTCTTTGAAGACCCGTTCTTTCCACTGGGATCTCACTCGCGGAGATCTTTCATTTAGGTCATTTTTTTTTTTTTTTCCCCAGAGTGTCTTGGCTTTCCATGCCTGAAATACTCTCATGTCTTTGCCCATTTTTAAATCAAGTTGCCCATTTATTACTGAGTTGTAAAGGTTCTTTATATAGTTTAGATGCAAGTTCCTTGTCAGGTACAAGATTTACAAATATTATCTCCCATTATATTCTATGCATTATCTTTTTACCTTTTTTGGTGTTTTCGAACACAGTTTTTATTTTGATGTCGTCTGAATTATCTTTCTTTTCTTTTCTTTGGTTGCTTATGCTTTAGGTATCATATTTAAGATTATTGCTCTGGGAGGGGAAGTGCTTGACTTTGTTGTTAAGATGTCACTTGGGACACCTTGCATCCCATATTGAAATATGTGGGTTTGAGGTCTGGCTTCATTTTCTGTCCCAGTTTCCTGCTGATGTACACCCTGGAAGGCAGCAGGTGAGAGCTCAAGTGGTCCAGTCCTTGCCACCCATGTAGGGGACCTGGATTACATTCCTGGTACCCAGCTTTGTCCCTAGCCTAGTCCCAGCCTATGAGAGTGTTTAGGGATTGGACCAGTAGATGGGAGCCCTGTATCTTTTCTTGATCTTTCTCTCTCTCATCTGTCTCTTGGTCTCTCATGTAAAATTTTTTAGAAAAGCAACCAGTGCTTGATGGTTAATCCAAGGTCATGAAGATTTTTCTTGTATTCCTTTTGAGTTAATCTTTTGTGGTGTAAGGAGGACGTCCAACTTTTTTTTTTTTTGACAGGCAGAGTTAGACAGAGAGTTATAGACAGTGAGAGAGAGACAGAGACAAAGGTTTTCTTACTGTTGATTCACTCCCCTAATGGCCACCATGGCTGGCGCTGCGCCGAGCTGAAGCCAAGAGCCGGGTGTTTCCTCCCTGTCTCCCATGCGGGTAACAGGGACCCAAGCATCTAGGCCATCCTCCGCTGCCCTCCTGGGACACAGCAGAGAGCTTGACTGGAAGAGGAGCAACTGGGACTAGTACCCAGCGCCCCGACCAGGACTAGAACCCGGGGTGCTGGCGCCGCAGACGGAGGATTAGCCAAGTGAGCTGGCCCCAACTTTGTTCTTTTACAAATGGGTATCTAGTTGTTCTAGCACCATTTGTTTAAAAGAATATTCTTTTCTTCAGTGAATTGTCTTGCCATCTTTGTCTAAAATCAATTGACCAAGAATGTAGGGGTTTATTTTTGGAGTCTTAAATCTATTGCATTGATCTATATGACTTTCCTATGCCAGTACTACACTGTCTTAATTACTGTAGCTTTCTGTATGTTTTGAAATTGGAAGTTGTGAGTCCTCCAAATTTGTTTTTTTTTTTTCTTTGTCAAGATTATTTTAGCTATTTGTGGTCCCTTGCATTTCTGTATGAACTTCAGGGTAAGCTTGTCAGTATATGCACCAGAGATTGATGAGATTCTGGCATGGATTGCATTGAATCTTTCTTCCGACATTAATGCGATCTTTTTTTAAGGTCTATTTATTTGAAAGGCAGAGTGTCAGAGGGAGAGGCAGAAGAGAGAGGGATCCCTTGTCTACTGGTTAATTTCCTAAATGGCTGCAAGAGCTGAGGGTGGGCCAGACAGAAGCTAGGAAACAGGAACTCAACTCCATCCAGGTCACCCACTTGGTTAGCTGGAGCCTAAGTACTTGGGCCATCTTCTTCTGCCTTAGGAGGCAAACCAGCAGCATCAGAAGGCAAAGTAGCCAGGCTCCAGTCAGCATTCTGGTATGGGATGCTGCCTTGCAAGTGGTGGCTTAACCTACTGCATCACAGTGTGGTCCCAGTATTGAAATCTTAACATTTAAGGCTTCCAGAGTGTTGAATGTGTGATGTATTTTATTTGTTCAAGTTATATTTTAATTTCTTTCAATGATGTTTTATGTTAGCTATATGTTTCTTTGTTATTTTTTTTTAAAGATTTTATTTGAGAGGTAGAGTTACAGACAGTGAGAGGGACACAGAGAGAGGTCTTTCATCAGCTGTTCTCTCCCCAAATGGCTGCAATGGCTGAAGCTGGGCTGATCCAAAGTCAGGAGCCAGGAGCTTCTTCTGGATCTCCCACGTGGAAGTAGGGGTCCAAGCGGTCGGCCCAACTTTTACTGCTTTCCCAGGCTGTCAACAGAGAGCTGGATTGGAAGAAGAGCAGTCGGGACTTGAATGGAGGCCCATATGGGATGCCAGTGCCACAGGTGGAGAATTAACCTACTGTGTCACAGTGCCATTTTTTTTTTTTTAATTTCTTTTTTTTTGTATTTGAAAGAGTTAGAAGAGAGGCACACATACACACAGAGATCTTGCATCTACTGGTTCAATCCCCAAATGGCCACAGTGACCAGACTGAAGTCTGGGCTATCTGTTGCTGCTGTCCCAGACAAATTAGCAGGGAGCTGGGTCAGAAGTGGAGCAGCCAGGACTCAAACCAGCCCCTATATGAAATGCCTGTGTTGCAGGCAGAGGCTTAACTACCGTGCCACAATGCTGGCCCCTGTATGTTGTTTTTATGGTTTTGTATGTATTTTAAGGTAGCTGTGTAGTAGCTATATGTTTTTGTTTGTTTTTAACCTTTGTGTGGCTGCCTTCAGATCATTCTGGCAAAAATCCCTGAGTGATTATGAAGGAGATTTTTGTTCTGGAGCTTTATTACTCTACTTGTTTCCTGTGCTGTTAATGGTGTCTCTTGGTCTAGGAACTCATTCCTTTTTGCTTTATCATTATGCAGTTGTCTCCCCCAGTCTGCTCAATATGTTGCATTTTCTAAGGTAGGGATGGGGAAACTTTTTTCTGCCAAGAGTCACTAAAAACTTTGATTAGTCCTGCAGTGAAGAAAGCTGATTTTTTAAAGATTTATTTATTTAAAAAGGCAAGCTTATATAGAGAGGAGTTATTTTCCATTTGTTGGTTCACTCCTAGATGGCTACAACAGCTAGGTCTCCCATGTGGGTGCAGGGGTCTAAGCACATGGACCATCTTCTGCAGAGACAGAGAAAAGAGAAAACTTCCATCCACTGGTTCACTCCCCAGATATGTCCGCAACAGCTAGGGCTGGGCCAGGCTGAGACCAGGAACCTGAACTCCATCTTGGTGTAGGGTTCCAAGCACTTGGGCCATATTTGCTGGTTTCCCAGGCACATTAGCAGGAAGCTGGATTGGAAGTGGAGCATCCAGAACACGAACTGGTGATGATTTACCTGCTGTTCCACAACTCTGGCCCCAGTCATTGACTTTTTAATAATAACAGCCCGTGTTAATAAAGGTAGCCACCTTACTGCACACAGTTGATCCATTTTCTCCTTGTACCTTTGCTCTCCTGCAAGCCTCTCCTAAAATGTCATTTTATTTAGAAAACTTATGTTGTTGACCCCAAATATTTTGGGGGTTTAGAATTATGGGACTCCTATTATCTTCTGCTATTAAACCTGACCTGTCCTGCTAAGTTTCCCAAGCAGTATAATGTAAGGCACACCAGTAAATTATGTATTCTAAGTTCTTGCCCAATACTTGTCTTTGTATTGAGTTAAGTTATTTAAAAGGAAACCTGAACCACCTATTTATTTTTTTGCCTTAAAACTTACAGCAGGGTTTCTCTCTCTCTCTCTTTCTCTCTCTCTCTCTAGTTTTTAGCACTAAGAATTCCTTTAGTTGTTTTTTTCCCATATACTTTGTTTTGAAAGATTGTCTATTAACAGCCTAAAGTTACTAAATAATTTATCATTTTATTTGTCAGCTGTAATTGTACTATCATTGCTTATATGTTCTTTGAACACAGTTCAAAAATCATTGATGTGCAGGAAAGGGTGTACACCTTATAAGCAGAGAAAGCTAGATTAAAATCCTAGCCTTGCCAATTAGTCATGGTATAATATTGGGCAGGTTGTTTATTAATCATTGAATCTCTTCATCTTTAAAAATAAGTAGAGTGAGGGGCTGATGTTGTGGCACAGCAGGTTATGCTGCCTGCCTCCTGCAGTGCTTGTGTCCCATGAGCACTGGTTTGAGTCCTAGCTGCTCTACTTCTGATCCAGCCCCCTGCTAATGTGCCTGGGAAAGCAGCAACAGAAGGCCCATGTGCTTGGGCCCCTCCCACACATGTGGGAGTCTTGGGTGGAGTTTCTGGCTCCTGGCTTCCACCTGGACTAGCCCCAGTCATTGCAGCCATATGGGGTATGAACCAGCAGATGGATAGTATCTATTTCTGTTTCTCTCTCCTCTCATTGTACTGCTGCTTTCAAATAAATGAATAAATCTTAAAAATAAAAATGAGAGTTATTTCAACTTTGAAGTGTTAGGAAGATTAATGAATGTGGATGCTCCAGATATCCTGGACACAATATATTATCACATGTTATATTTTATCTATATCCTCTGAAGTTCATTTTAATATCTATGATTATATGCCAGCTACAGGCCAAAAAAATGTCTTTTAAACCTCTGTAGGTAGTACTTTATGTTTAAGTAGATTCATTAAAAGTTGTGCTCTACAAAATTATGTATATAAAAGAATGTCTAAAAACAAAAGGTACATATATTAGTCATTATTTCAGCCTGCTTTATGTACATGTACAATTTTATATTTTATCCTTCCTTCTTTGTGGAAAGACTGATTTCATTTCAGGAGTTAAATAGCCTCATTATGGTAGCAAATCATATATTTGCAGGTCTCTTGTAATAACAACATTGATGTTTAAATTGAAAAGATATGTATCTTAAGTCTGTGATGTTGTAAGAATTCAAATAATTGAAGAGTTGTTCTGAAATGGAAGCAGGAATCTGGGAACGAAGAAAATATGGGTAGAATACTGAATTGCATGAAATAAAATTTGTGTGCAATTTTTTGTTGTTGCCTTGCCTTGCAGTCCACAAGAATTGGAATGTCAGTTAACGCTATTCGCAAGCAAAGTACAGATGAAGAAGTTACATCTTTAGCAAAGTCTCTCATCAAATCCTGGAAAAAGCTATTAGGTACAGTTATCTTCTCATTCATATATTTATGATCTGGTTTATTTTCATGGTTGTTGTACTGATTTGCTCTATGAATCTAGGTGTACATGCCTCATAAGAGGGGTGATGGCAGGTTAGTTTTCACTTTTTAGACCAGTCAAATTTTGCTTTCTTGCCTTCTGACACACATAACTAGATAAATTCTTTATGAAGAAGAGTTTTTCCCCCAGGGAAAGTTGGTGGATACTAAAAAAAAAAAAAAAAAAAAGCGTGCATACACACTTATGTCTCCGTATCTTGGCTATTATGAATAGTGCTGCAATAAACACTCAAGTACAGATATTTCTTTTATATACTATTGTCAGTTCCTTTGGATTTATACCCAAAAGTGGGTTTGCTTGATCATATAGTAGTTATATTTCTAGTTTTTGAGGAACCTACATATTGTTTTCCATAACGACTGTACTGATTTACATTCCCATCAACAGTCTGTAAAGATTCCCTTTTCTTCACATCCTTGTCAGTGTTTGTCATTTTTTTCCCTTTTGATAATAGCCATTCTCATGAGATGGGATGATACCTCATTATGTGGGTTTTTTTAAAAATTTGAGAGGCAGAGAAATGGAGCACTCCCATCCACTGGTTCACTCCCCAAATATCTGAAAAAGTTGAGGTTAGATGCCAGGAGCTGGGAACTCAATCTGGGTCTCCCACTTGAGTGGCAGGAAGCCACTTCTATCACCACTGCCTCCCAGTGTCTGCATTGTGGGGAAGCTGGAACCGAGAATCAAACTCGGGCACTCTCTTGTGGGATATGGCTATTTTTAAACACTCGGGCACTCTCTTGTGGGATATGGCTATTTTTAAACACTCAACTGAATGCTGGCTTACTGATTGTGGTTTTGATTTACATTTTACTGATGGTTAGTGATGTTGAGTATCTTTCATGTGCTTGTTGACCATTTCTGTATCCTCTTTTGGAAAATGTCTATTCATATTATTTTCCTGGTTTTTTTAAATAGGATTATTCTGTTTTTTTGTTGCTGTTGACTTGTTTGAGGACCTTATCTATTCTGAATATCAATTCCTTGTAGGATGAGTAGTTTGCAAGTATTTTTCTCCTGTTCTGTTGGTTGTCTCTGTGATAATTATCTTTGTCTTTGGTTGTACATACTTTTTTTTTTCTTAAGATTTAGTTAGTTATTTTAAAGGCAGAGTTACAGAGAGAAAGGGAGAGGCAAAGAGAGAAAGATCTTACATCCACTGGTTTACACCCCAAATTACTACATTGACTAGGGCTGGGCCAGGCTGAAGCCAGGAGCCAGGAATTTCATCTGGGTTTCCCACATGGGTGCGAGTATCCCAAGGACTTAGACTATCTTTCACTGCTTTTCCTGGCACATTAACAGGGAGCTGGATCGAAATGGAAGCAGCTGGGACTTGCACTGACCCTGTACATACTTTTTGAAATAGTTTTTGAGAAAATTTAACTTAACAAAAAACTTGCAAGAATAGTGAATCCTCACATGTATTCTTTTCTACATCATTACTTTTTAATATTTGCCATTATTTTATCATAGTCTCTTTATATGTTCATACACATCCATTTTTTTCTAACTATTTAAGAGTAAGTTGAATATATAATTCTCTTTTATATATACATATATATATATATATATACTTTAAAGATTTACTTATTTATTTGTAAGAGTTACACAGAGAGAGAAGGAGAGGCAGAGAGAGAGAGAAGCCTTCCACCTGCTGGTTCACTCCCCAACTGGCCGCAACTGCTATAGCTGTGCTGATCCCAAGCCAGGAGCTTCTTCTGGGTCTCCCATGCGGGTGCAGGAGCCCAAGGGCTTGGACCATCTTCTATTGCTTTCCCAGGCCTTAGAGAGCTGGATTGGAAGTGGAGCGAACTGGTGCCCATATGGCATGCCAGCACTGCAGGTGCTGCTCTACCCACTATGCCACAGCACTGGTCCCTCTTTTATCTTTTTTAAAAGATTATTTATTTGAAAGGCAGTGTTCAGAGAGGGGTGGGGAAGAGACAGAAAAAGGTCTTTGATCTGCTAGTTCACTCCCCAAATGGCCAGAACAGCTGGGGCTGGGCCAGGCAGAAGCCAAGAGCCAAGAGTTTACCCTTTTGTCTCCCATGTGGGTGCAAGAATCATCATTCCCAGGCACAATAGCAGGGAGGTGGATTGAAAGCAGAGAAGCCAGGACTCGAATTGGCATCCAAATGGGATGCCAGATCATAGGTGGCAGCTTAACCCAGTACACCACAATGCTGGCCCCTCTTTTATCTTTTAATATGTGTTTTTCCTTAGAGCAGGATTATTTTCTCATGGAACCATAGTATAGAAAACTTTGGAAATTTATCATTGGTGCAGTACTTTGAACTGCAGTCCATATTCCAGTTTTGTTAATTGTCCCAGTTATGTCCATTATAGCTTCCTTTTTCCTCCTTTACAGTAGGATCCAGTTCAGGATCACATGTCTAGTTTCCTCACCTAGAATCATTCATAAGCTCTCCTCTTTTATGATATTGACATTTTGAACAGTAGAGCTGCTTTTCACCATTTTTTTTTTTTTTTTTTTTTTTTTTTTTTTTTTGACAGTGAGAGAGAGAGACAGAGAGAGACAGAGAGAGAAAGGTCTTCCTTTGCCGTTGGTTCACCCTCCAATGGCCGCCGCTGCAGCCGGCGCACCGCGCTGATCCGATGGCAGGAGCCAGGATCCAGGTGCTTTTCCTGGTCTCCCATGGGGTGCAGGGCCCAAGCACCTGGGCCATCCTCCACTGCACTCCCTGGCCATAGCAGAGAGCTGGCCTGGAAGAGGGGCAACCGGGACAGAATCCGGCTCCCCAACCGGGACTAGAACCCGGTGTGCCAGCGCCGCAAGGTGGAGGATTAGCCTATTGAGCCACGGCGCCGGCCGGTAGGAGACATTTTAAGATCTTAAAACTGTCTTTAACTTTATCAGTTCTTCCTTCTCTCTACTAATTTTGAATTTGATTCTTGCTGAAACCCATTTATATGGTATTGAAAATTGTCATTTTATTTTCAGTGATCTTTTAAAATAGGTATTTTTAAATTAATTTATTTGAGAAACAGAAAATCTGCTGTTTTACTCCCCAAATGCCTGCAATGGAATCCATCTAAGGCCAAAGCTAGAATCTGGGAACTTAATCTGTATCTCCTACATGGGTTGTAGGAACTCAGTCATTTAGCCATTACTGCCACCAAGAGTCTGCATTAGCAGGCAGCTAGAGTCAGGAGCTGGAGCTAGTACCAGTTATCAAATCCAGGCACTCTGATATGGGATGTAGGTATCTTAACTGCCATCTTAAATGCTAGGCCAAACACCTACCCCAGTTGTAATTTTTCTAACTCTTCCACCTCAATATTTATAAATCATTTCACTATTAAGAAGGAATCCTTTTATCTCCAGCTATTTTTCTACTACGTATAGACTTACAGATTCTATTCTGTATGATGGATTATAATCCATTGCTAATCAGATTTAATTTAGTATATGTACTATCCCAGATTTTACCAATGGATGCCTCTTCAGCCTGGCTCCTGTGTCCTTTTGAGATGCCCTCTGAAGTTTTTTTTTTTTTTTCCTGATTTTATTTATTTAAAATTTTTTTATTTATTTGAGAGACAGAAAGTGAAAGCTCCATATGTTTATTTGCTACCCAAATGCCCACAGTGTCCTGGGTTTAAAGCCAATGGCTGGGAACAAAATCTAGATTTCCCACATGAGTGACTGGAACATCACTTCCACTTCACAGGGTCTGCATTGATGGGAAGCTTGAGTTAGGAGCTAGAGCCACGAATTGAACCCAGGTACTCTGATGTGGGACGTGAGTATCTTAACCAGTAGTCTGAATGCCCAGTCCCCATTCGGTTTATCAATTTGTTACATCTGACACCACAGATGATATATTGGGCTCATCTCTCTTGTGTGCTTCATTCTTAGTATCAGCCTGTCTCTAAGAAGCTATTGACTATATGGAAGAGACAAAGAGTGAACATTTTAAAATTTGAGGCAGCAGTGGAAATGAGAAAACCATTTACAAGAACTTGAAAACTAGGAACTAAAATTATAAAGCCTGTAAAACTTAGAAAATCTAATCTTAAAAATAAAATACAGCATATGATTATGGTGCTAGATTCTGGACCAGAAAAAAATGTTTTGCTATGGCAGAAAAAAAAAATAGTTGTTGAAACACTTGGTCTGTAGACTAGTTTTTTTTTGACAGGCAGAGTGGACAGTGAGAGAGAGAGACAGAGAGAAAGGTCTTCCTTTTTGCCGTTGGTTCACCCTCCAATGGCCACCGTGGCCAGCACGCTGCGCTGATCTGAAGGCAGGAGCCAGGTGCTTCTCCTGGTCTCCCATGGGGTGCAGGGCCCAAGGACTTTGGGCCATCCTCCACTGCACTCCCGGGCCACAGCAGAGAGCTGGCCTGGAAGGGGGGCAACCGGGACAGAATCCGGCGCCCTGACCAGTACTAGAACCTGGTGTGCCGGCGCCGCTAGGCAGAGGATTAGCCTATTGAGCCGCGGCACCGGCTAGACTAGTTAATATTGTACCATTGTTAAGCTTACTTGTTATTTTCTGTGGTTGTAGTAAATATCTTTATTCTTAGGAAATACCCAGCAAAGTATTTAGGGATAAAACAGCATGATGTTTGTTTCGTATTTTCAAATGATCCAAAAGAAAGATGTCTGTGCATGTGAGTATTTGTTTGTGTGCATGTACATCTTGTCTACTTCTTAGGAAATAAAGGAATAGAAAGCAAATGTGCCAATGTTAACAGTGGCAGAATCTGAGTAAAAGGTCTTTGGAAGTTCTTTGTACTGTTCTTCTTACTTTAAAAAAAAATGCAACCTTTTAAAAATATTTCTATTTATTTATCTGAAAGGCAGAACTTCAGAGAAAGGGAGAGAAGGAGGAAAGGAGGGAAACAGGGAGGTAGATGTTTCCCATCTGCTAATTCAACCCCTAAAGAGCTGAAATGACCAGGTCTGGGGCAGACTAAAGGCAGTAACCAGGAGCTCTGGGTGGCTGGGGCCCAAGTATTAGACCATCATCTGTTGCTTCCGAGATGTATTAGTAGGAGGCTGGTTCTGAAGCAGAGCAGCTGAGACCTGAATTGGCACTGTGGTATGGGATGTTAGCCCTTATAAACAGCTACTTAACCTGTTGAGCCACAGTGCCAACCCTTTGTACTACTCTTATTATATTTGTGCAGATTTGAAATAGTTTCAGAATTAATTTTAAGTCTGGTCTGTAATGACAAACCAAAACTCTAGGCTTATAGTTTAAATTTTAAATGTAATTGCATTTTTAAAAGTAATTAAAACCAATCATATAGAAAACTGAGTGAGGCCGGCGCCGCGGCTCACTAGGCTAATCCTCCGCCTAGCGGCGCCGGCACACCGGGTTCTAGTCCCGGTCGGGGCGCCAGATTCTGTCCCGGTTGCCCCTCTTCCAGGCCAGCCCTCTGCTGTGGCCCGGGAGTGCAGTGGAGGATGGCCCAGGTGCTTGGCCCCTGCACCCCATGGGAGACCAGGAAAAGCACCTGGCTCCTGGCTCCTGCCATCGGATCAGCGCGGTGCACCGGCCGCAGCGCTCCGGCCGCGGCGCACTTTGAAGGGTGAACCAACGGCAAAGAAGACCTTTCTCTCTGTCTCTCTCTCTCACTGTCCACTCTGCCTGTCAAAAAACAAAACAAAAAAAAAAAACAAACTGAGTGAGAACTATATATACAATTTTTTTTTTTTTTTTTTGGACAGGCAGAGTTTAGACAGTGAGAGAGAGAGAGACAGAGAGAAAGGTCTTCCTTTTTTCCATTGTTTCACTCCCCAAGTGGCCGCTACGGCCAGCACGCTACGCCGATCTGGAGCCAGGAGCCAGGTACTTCCTCCTGGTCTCCCATGCGGGTGCAGGGCCCAAGCACCTGGGCCATCCTCCACTGCACTCCCGGGCCACAGCAGAGAGCTGGACTGGAAGAGGAGCAACCAGGACGGAATCCAGTGCCCCAGCCGGGACTAGAACCTGGGGTGCTGGTGCTGCAGGCAGAGGATTAGCCTGGTGAGCTGCGGCTCCGGCCCACATTTTTTAATGATTTATTTATTTATTTGAAAGGCAGAGTTAGAAGCAGAGGCAGAGAGGTCTTACACTGCTGGTGTACTCTCCAAATGGCTGCAACAGCCGGAACAAGACCCATCCGAAACTAGGAGCTAGGAACTTTTCTAGGTCTCTTACACGGGTGCAGGGGCCCAAGCACTCGGGCCATCTTCTGCAGCTTTCCCAGGCCATAGCAGAGAGCTGGATTGGAAGTGGAACAGCTGGGACTCGAACTGGTACCCATATGGGATGCCAGCACTGCAGGCAGCCACTTTACCTGCTGTGGCACAGCACCAGCCCCCGTATACATAACCACATATTTTTATTTCTAGAAAGATGATTTACTTTTGTGGGAGGAAAGAGTGGACATTGTGGTTCTGTTCAGTCTTAGACTTACAGAAGTTTTATTTGCTTTTTGTATTTCTTAGAAGCATCTAATTTCAGTTCTAAGTTTTATAAAAACTTTGTTGAAATTTTTAAATGTTTATTAAATGGATTTTAGAGAATTGGAGGGGAAAATCATCCTTGTGTCTGTCTCTGAATACAATGATAAGTTAATATCTCATTGGAATTTCTTGTGTTTTTTTTTTTTTTACTTCAGCTATAATTTTACTTATGCTGCAAGTATAGTTAATTGTCCTTTTTTTATGAAAATAGTTTGTATTCTATCATAACTGTCATTTTTACTCGCTTCAGGATCATCCATCCAGTGACTATGCCATAACTTTTCTAAAGATTTATTTATTTGAAAGTTAGAGTTACACAGAGCGAAAAGAAGCAGAGAGAGAGAGTGAGTGAGTGAGAGAGAGAGGTCTTCCACCCAGTGGTTCACTCCTCAGCTGCACTGATCCGAAGCCAGGAGCCAGGAGCTTCTTTCAAGTCTCCCAAGCGGTGCAGTGGCCCAAGGACTTGAGCCATGTTCTACTGCTTTCCCAGGCAATAGCAGAGAGCTGGATCAGAAGAGGAACAGCTGGGACTAGAACCAGCGCCCATATGGGATGCCAGTGCTTCAGGCCAGGGCATTAACCCACTGTGCCACAGTGCCGGCCCCAACTATGCCATAATCTAATCTCACCTGGCTATTGTTGGATTTGTTGTTTTTAACTTTATGGCTGTTAGAAATAATGTCTTGATGAACTTCTTTCTAGCCCAGTGCCTTTAGATGATTAGCTATATTTCTAGAAGGTTGACTGTTGCTGCTGCTGCTAGGCAGCACATTTTTGAGTGCTTGAACCATGCTAATCATTGATTTAGTCCTCACACCAACCCAGTATGATAGGTGCTATTACGATCCTATTTTATGATGAAGCATCTGAAGTATATGTTGCACACAGTTGAATCATTGGTGAATGGCTGAGTTGGGATCAGATTGTAGGCAGTTTGTGTTCAGAGTTGGAGCACTTCCTTGCTGACTGTTGTTGGTTGCTTACAGCTCTGTATCAGGTAGACTGTGTCAGAGCTGTGTGGGAGATCACTTTTATTTCCGTATCCTTGCTTGATCTTATTTCATCACCTTCTCCCTTTATTTTTTTTTAAAAATTTATTTATTTATTTGAAAGTGAGAGTACACAGAGAGAAAGAAATGCAGAGAGAGAGAGAGAGAGAGGTCTTCCATCTGTTGATTCACTCCCCAATTGGCTGTAATAGCCAGAGCTGTGCCGATCTGAAACCAGGAGCCAGGGGTTCCTTTCCGGGTCTCCCACACAGGTGCAGGGGTCCAACGCCTTGGCCATCTTCTGCTGCTTTCCTAGGCCACAGCAGAGAGCTGATTTGGAAGTAGAGCATCTGGGTCTTGAATCGGTGCCCATATGGGATGCCGGCACTGCAGACAGCTGCTTCACCCGCCATGCCACAGCTCCGGCCCCAAGACCTTCTCCCTTTAAGTAAATCCCTGTTACCGTTATCATGTCATTATTAATCTCTGTTTTCTGCCTCACAGTATGATAGCACTTTTCATCTTTGAGATATTCAAGGTGAATTATAGAATAACAGGGTGCAACACAGTTAGTAATTGGTGTGTACATGTTATAGAGGGCTTACAGGTCACTCGACAGTTGTGATTTGGACCTTTTTTTAAGGACAGTTTATTTTATTTATTTATTTTTTTAAAGATTTATTTCTTTGAAAGGCAGAGTTACATAGAAGGCCACACACACACACACACACACACACACAAACAAACACAAGGGGCAGGAGAGTAGGGGAGATCTTGCATCTGCTGTTTACTCCTCCCCAGATGGCCATAACTGCTGGGGCTGGGCCAACCAAAGCTAGGAGCCAGGAGTTTCATCTGGGTATCCCATGTGGATGGTAGGGGCCCTAGTACTTGGGCCATCTTCCACTGTTTTACCAGGCACATTAGCAGGGAACTGGATCAGAAATGGAGCAGCCAGGACTCAAATTGGTGCCCATATGGGATGCCAGTGTTGCAGGTGATGGCTTTACCTGCTAAGCTACAGCACCAGTCTTTGGACCATTTTCTATAAGTGATTCTCATCTAGATAGTACATTAGAGCTATCTGTGGAACTTTAAAAAACTATGATGCTTGTACCTCACTGTCAGAAATTCAGATTGAGTGGCTCTGGATTGGAGCTTGGCTTGAGGATACATTTAGAAGTCCCATAGGTGATCCGGATATCCTTTAGAATAAATGATTTCTGTATCCTATCCAGAGATGTGAAGAATTAACTTACATAGCCCGTTTTACTTAGATAAGGAGCAAAATATATTAAGTGAGGTGATTCTGCAGTGCACTCAAATATTTTCTCAACCTAGCCTCTGTGGGCATTTGTGGTTGATTTAAATAAAATGAATCTTTCTAAAATTCTGTGCTAAGTGTTACATTGACTCAACCTGTTTTAAATACATTATTTTACAGTGTCTATTACCTCTTCGAATCTTAAAACTGTGTATTCTGTATTACTTTACAGATAAGTTAAGACAGAGGAGGTGCTGGGTAGGTCTTACCAATCCTGAGGTGTTTTCTGTGAAAATGTTCTTGGTTTATTGTCTCAGAACATTTGTTTACATTTTGGGTGCCACCTTACATTTTTTGACTTTATGAAAATTATTAAAACAATATTGCTATATATGATTTGTGCTTTCTTTGTTTAAATGATGGTGCTGATGTTTTTCTGCATTCTTTCCTTTCTTTGTTCTTTATACTTTCTTTCTCATTGGCATATGAATTTGTAGTTCCCACCAAATGAGAGAATTTATTTGGGAGTGTTTGGCTGAACATGCATTGTGAAAAACCCAAGTACATGTGCTAAAAAATAATAGCTTACTATATAAACTTCATTTACTTGTGGGAAACAGAATTTTAAGTTTTGGGGGAGGGGTTATTAATAGCCTATTGACACTCAGTACTCCAGTTGTTTTCTCTTTTTTTAGCAGTGCTAACTTAGGGATTTCATAAATTTTTTAGATGGACCATCAACAGAAAAAGACCCTGAAGAAAAGAAAAAAGAACCTGCAATTACATCACAGAATAGCCCTGAGGCAAGAGAGGAAAGGTATTTCACTTTATGGAAATTCATGTCTGTTGAAAGTTCTAAGTGCTCCATCACTTCCTGCGTGGCTTTATGGCATATCTATACACCTCCTCCTGTTTTGGAATTGTAGGGATCTGGTAATTGTATGTAGCCAATCATTCGAAGGTTTTGTTTTCTTTTACAAGATATCCTGAACACTTATAAAAGAAGTAGAAGATACTGCATAAATAAGAAGAAATTATTTATATTATACATAATAAAATTTAATTGGGATTGCTGGGATCATCACTGATAGAATCAATAATGAAAAAAGAAAAAAAAGAATCAATAACCAAGTACTGACTAGGAGTAAAAATTATTTTGTCTCTTATTTCATCTCTTTATCACATTTCTTCTTTAGACTTACTTCAGCCCTAGATTTCATTCTCCTTTTTATCCTTTCTTTCCCCTTACAAATTTAGCTATTTATCATAACTCAAAATCTGAAACTCAGAATTGAAGGGTTCAAATTGTTCCTTAGCTTCTATGCAGTCTTTGCATTTACTCTTTTCTGTCCCATATCTTGCACTGTGCAGTGTCCCTTGTGTTGTCAGAATAGGGGATATACATAAGTAATGATTATAAGTGGCCTTCAGAAAGTTTATGAAAAAACTATGCATGGATTTCAATTTTTTTGCATCAAAATAAACTTAGTTCTGTTGTCTAAAACTTTTTGAAATAACTTTGTATCAGTACTAACTGTACTTGATATTAAAAATGGTAGGGTTAAATAGCAGTTTTTAATAAAAAATTTATGCAGTTTTTTTTTTTTTTTTTTTTTGGACAGGCATAGTTAGACAGTGAGAGAGAGAGAGAGAAAGGTCTTCCTTCCATTCACCCTCCAAATGGCCGCCATGGCCGGCGCACTGTGCCGATCCAAAGCCAGGAGCCAGGTACTTCTCCTAATCTCCCATGTGGGTGCAGGGCCCAAGCACCTGGGCCATCCTCCACTGCCTTCCCGGGGCCACAGCAGAGAGCTGGAATGGAAGAGGAGCAACCAGGACTAGAACCTGGAGTTCCAGCGCGCAGGCAGAGGATTAGCCTACTGAGCCGTGGTGCTGGCCTATGGAGTTTTTTTCTCTTTATTTTGAAATAATTTGACTTTCATAATATTGCATTAATGATACAAAAAGACATTATGCCTTGTATGTCCCTAAATACATCAGTGTATTTTCTAAGAACTTGTATATTAATCTGGAGTAGTTCGTCAGTCTATTGTTATCTTTCATGACCTTGATATTTTTTTTTAACTTTTATTTAATATAAATTTCCAGAATACAGCTTATGGATTATAATGGCTCCCCCCCCCCCCATAACTTCCCTCCCACCTGCACCCCTCCCATCTCCCGCTCCCTTTCCCATTCCATTCGCATCAAGATTCATTTTCAATTATCTTTATATACAGAAGATCAATTTAGTATAAATTAAGTAAAGATTTCAACAGTTTGCACCCCCACTGAGTACTAGTTATAACATTAATTCACATTGTACAACACATTAAGGACAGAGATCCTACAAGAGGAGGAGTAAGTGCACAGTGACTCCTGTTGTTGACTTAACAATTATGACGTCAGTAATCACCCTAGTCTCTTGTCATGAGTTGCCAAGGCTATGGAAGCATGTTCAACTCTGATCTTATTTAAATGAGGTCATAGTCAAAGTGGAAGTTCTCTCCTCCCTTCAGAGAAAGGTACCTCCTTCTTTGATGGCCCGTTCTTTCTACTGGAATCTCACTCACAGAGATCTTTCATTTAGTTGTTTTGTTTTGTTTTGTTTTGTTTTGTTTTTTTTCCAGAGTGTCTTGGTTTTCCATGCCTAAAATACTCTCATGGGCTCTTCAGCCAGATCCAAATGCCTTAAGGGCTAATTCTGAGGCCAGAGTGCTGTTTAGGACATCTGCCATTCTATGAATCTGCTGTCTATCCCTCTTCCCATGTTGGATCGTTTTCTCCTTCATTCTATCAGATAGTATAATCAGACACTAGTCTTGTTTATGTGATCTCTTTGACTCTTAAACCTATCATTATGATCAATTGTGAACTGAAATTGATGACTTGGACTAGTGAGATGGCATTGGTACATGCCACCTTGATGGGATTGTATTGGAATCCCCTGGCACGTTTCTAACTCTGCCATTTGGGGCAAGTCCGATTGAGCATGTCCCAAACTGTACATCTCCTCCCTCTCTTATTCCCACTTTTATATTTAATAGAGATCACTTTTCAGTTAATTTTTGTTTTTATTTTGTTTTTTAAAGATTTACTTTTTATTTCAGAGGCAGAGTTACAGAGAAAGGGAGAGACAAAGAGGTCTTTCATTTGCTGGTCCACTCCCGAAATGGCCACAATGGCCTGAGCTAGGCAGATCTGAAGCCAGGAGCTGGGAGTTTCTTCCAGATCTCCCACATGGGTACCGGGGCCCAAGCACTTGGACCATCTTCTGCTGCCTTCCCAGGCCATTAGCAGGGAGCTGGATCAGAAGTGGAGCAGCCAGGATTCAAACTTTACCCATATGGGATACCAGTGCTCCAGGCAGAGCCTTAACCTTCTATGCCACAGCACTGGCCCTGACCTTGATATTTTTGAAAAGTACAGACTGTAACTTAGGATTTTTAAACATACTTCAGTTGTGTTACATTCAGAGTTATTGATTTAATTCCTTAAACATATAAAAGTACAAATGTTTTTTATAGTTTTGTATACTTAAGTTTAGACACAGAGCCTATCCTCAAAAGCATAGAATTAGCATGTATGAAAACTGATAAAGTGATTGGTATCTGCCTACACATATACAAATGCACACTTAAGGAAATAAAGAAGACTGGAGAAACAAGTCAGGGGTTTAATCTAAAGGAAGGTAAGAGGTTCAGTCTAAGTGACTTGTAACTGATCAAGGTTCTACATTTTGAGTGCAAAAATTTGAGAACGTTACATGCTTAAATGCTTAAAAAGAGGCACCAGAATATAAGAGTGGGGCCCACAATAGTAAAATTAGTGAGGAAGAGGCTCCATCAGTCTGCCCAAGCAGTTTCTAGTGGTTGGGCTAGGCATTTGGCTACAAGCACAGAGAAGCAGAAGTACTTAAAGTATTTATTATGTGGTTTTTAAATTTTTTAACATTGGTTTGTTTATTTATCACTGACAGGCACTATGCTGGCACTGTGCTACATAGTGAATTACAAAGAGGAGTAAATCCTAGTTTGTACTCTGACGAAATAGTCTACTTGGGAGAATGTATGAGAAGTCATCATGTACAAACCTATATGCAGCCAGTACTTTGGGTATATCAGAGAAAGCTTTAGGAGGGAACTGACTAAAGCTAGAAGGTTTAGGTGACTGTCTTACTCACAGTGACGTGTTCCTAAAGCTTAACAGTAATTGTATTTTAGGAGATGGCAGCATTATAGCAAATCAGATCTTTGGAGAGAGGATGATTTAATCTAGTTTTGAGAATGCTTATGGCAAATGCATTTTTTTTTGTTTGTTTGTTTTTGTTTTAAGATTTATTTATTTGAAAGAGTTACAGAGAGAGAGAGAGAGACAGACAGAGATAGGCCTTCAATCCGATGGTTCACTCCCCAGATGGCTGCAACGGCTGGAGCTGTGCCGATCCGAAGCCAGGAGCTTCTTCCCGGTCTCCCACATGGGTGCAGAAGTCGAGCAGCCGGGACTCGAACCGTAGCTTCAGGCCAGGGCGTTAATCCACTGCACCACAGCGCCGGCCCCTGGCAAATGTTTTTAATTTGGTAAAATGTAATTGAAAACAGAAGAATATTTTGGAAAGAACTTATTTTATTGAAAACCTAATATAAAAAGTTTATCAGAAGCAATTGAAATGATTGGGTTGACTGGAAAGTTAATAAACTGTCCTGACATCCAGATTCAGTTGATATTACTGAGGAGAAATTTAAACTTTTTAATTTCATATTCCCACAACTCATTTCTCAGTGCACATGGCTTTTATTCTGAAGAGAGTGTCTCTTTGGAACAAGGTTTTTAAAATGTTTTTTCCCTGCCTCTTTCAGTTGAAAGCTGCCATATTCTCTGGTCTCATCCATTCACTCTTGTCCTGAAACCAAGATCTGTACTTTGCATTTACTGAACGTATATTTTCTTCACTCAAAATATTGCTTTACTTTTAAAAGAAGAATCAGGGTGCAGTAATTACAAAGACATGAGACTTAACTCTTTACTAAATTTAAAAATTTTAACTTTAATTTTGCATACAAAAATTTTTGTCTCATGAAAGTCATTGAAATACTGTCATTATCTAGGCCAAAATATTTTTCATTTTGAGAATGGTGGTAATGTTACATTAAAAGCATTTTCCTTGCTTTCTCTTTGGTATTTGTGTGCACATGTGTGTATTAGTAGCTCCAGTGGCAACGTGAGCAACAGAAAGGATGAGACAAATGCTCGAGATACTTACGTTTCATCTTTTCCTCGGGCACCAAGCACTTCTGATTCTGTGCGGTTAAAGTGTAGGGAGATGCTGGCTGCTGCTCTCCGAACAGGAGGTAAGTTTAGTTTACATTTTTTATTTCTTAGCCTTTTGATCACTACCACTACCATCACCACCTCATGTTGCATCATCGCATTGAGAGTTGACCACATCTGCTTTACTCAGGAAGTAGTTTGTTGCTAATAGGGGTCCCTGAAGCAAGGAGGAGAAAGCACACTGGGCATCTGCTCATTTCTGAGTAATGTGAGAAATAGATTGCATTTAATATATGGCTGTTTTCCTAAATTAATAGTAATATAAACTTTTTGTCTACAAATCTTTCATTTCCTTGCATTTTTCTGCAAACTAATTACTCTGCCCTCAGATTATGAGTTAATAATACTGAATTGGCAAGTCATATATGCATGTGTATTTGTATATAAATTTTATATTCATAGTTTCATTTTCTACTCTATTAAAGTGGAAAAGAGATCTAAATTTATATGTAGGAACTTAATTTCATGGTACCCAGTTTTAGCAAGTAAAAGTTTGTTTTTTAGCATTTCATATACAGGAATGTTTATCAGCTTATCCAAATCCATATCCTTTTTCTTTTCTGTTGTTCTGAACCATAGCTCATCTAACCTGTTTTTCTCCTTACTCTGCCTTTTCTGCTTTGATTCCTTTAGTGTCTTTTTTTTTTCTGCTTTCTCCCTAGTTTCTATTTCGTTCTATCCTTTTGAATATTCATATAGGATTCTTCTGAGTGTGTCCATAAATGTGATTGGCAGATGAAATGAATGGTTTCTTTGCATTGAAGCCTGAGTCACAGGAGACAAGACAGTTCTTTCTATAACTTTCTCTACTCTGCTGGAGCAACCAGAATTTATGGAATTGTGAAATGAGGAATTGCCTGCTAGATCAATTACTTCCCCACTCCTGAGGGATAAGGAATCATCAATGCGGGAGCACTGTGGATATTAGGTGAATCTCAGAGGAAGAGTTTAGTGGGTACTAAGAGACCAGATTTAAATGAAACTGAACTAAAAGAATTTTTTGTATAAGGCAAATGGGGTTGAAGAAATAGGAATGCAGTTTAATTCCTTTATTGGAATTTTTTTTAATGTTACAATAGCTTGATGATTTTTTATGTCTATTTTTAGATGACTACGTTGCCATTGGAGCTGATGAGGAAGAATTGGGATCTCAAATTGAGGAAGATATCCTTTCTGTATATATTCATAATTGTCTTAAGTAACCTAGTAGGTTAGCTGTAGTTTTTTCTTGTGGTATAGAATTCAAAGGTTTACTCTTCAGTTTCTATGTTGATTGCATTGTTTTGATTGGAAAGAAGAAGGGCATCCAGATCATTTTATTTCTTTTATTTTTCCTGTCCTTTAAAAGCACACAGCATCAATGTTAATTTTATTTTTCTGCCTTGCAAATTGAGAACGTCATGTCTTATTTTAAATTGTCTAAAAGGGCATAGAAAGCACACACACAGGTATGACTTTCTTGTATTGGGCCACCTCAGCAGAGCATACACAACTGACAGAGCTCATATACCAGAGAGCAGTGTGTTCATGGTGGGGCCCCATGGAAAGGGCTCCGGGAGATAGTCTTTCATGGGAGTCCAGGAGCAAGGAAGCATCCAGGTGACAGTGTGACTGGTGCTGTCCTTCATGAGGAGACAGCCCTGTTGGGAAGGGAGCTTCTCTAGAACTCAGTCTCTGCTGTGGCCTAAGTTCTGTGTAGAAGAACCTGCTAAACTAGCTTCTTACTGAGCTGGAGGAGGAGATTAACCTTAAAGGCCACAGTGAATAGTGTCTTCTCAGGAGATCCCAAGGAACTCTGTGGTCTTTGAGCCTTATTATCCTTTGTAGAATTCACATTTGAGTTAGCTAAAGCTGTGTAAGTTTAAGTTCCTATACTTTTTGAAAACCTGGTTGGTTTGCCTGTTTCTGGCATTACTCATTAAGAAAAAACCATTACTCCTTCATAGTGTAAAAGTGCTATTACTATTACTTGCCAATTACTAATCAAGGAATCAGACAAAAACCATGACTTGTTTGTAATTTAATCTAAGATGGAAATGATTTTTGTGGATTGCATAGAAATTTCAGGAATTCTTATTTTGTTACAAAAAAAGATCTTGATTTTATAATTTAATTTTTTCCTTAATAGCCTAGTACCTATATACCAAGAAATAAGGAATACAGACATGAAATACAAAAATAGAGTACGAAGTAGGATATCAAATCTTAAGGATGCAAAAAATCCAAATTTAAGGAAAAATGTATTGTGTGGGAATATTCCTCCTGATTTATTTGCTAGAATGACGGCAGAGGTGAGTGTGCTTCATATAAAATTTCCATAATTGTGATCCTATTATGTCAGTGTCAGGTCTATTTAAAGTACTATGTAAATACTACATATATAATAAATTGCTATTAGCAGTGTTAGACAAGTACTTAGGATTATTGAATCTGTTTATCAATACTTATATCCCTTCTACAGCCGTTAAGATGTTCTTTGGGTGATTGCATTAAATTATTGTCTAAAAATGTGTTTTACCTTTGAATTCATGTAGAAACAAAGAGTTGAATCTCATTGCAGACAGACCCTATAACTTCTAAGTCATTTTCATGGTTAAACACTATAAAATTGGTCACATCTTACTGATAATTCACTGAATTTATGTAGAGAATGATGGGAAAAAAATTCATAGACATTTGACACGTCACTATTCATAAGCAGTGGCTATAGGGTATCTGTAATCTTAGTATTTCATTAAGCATCCAAGAGAGTGAGTCTATCTTTCTATACATCTAATAGAAATTGATACATCTTTAGAATTCACTTTTTGGAAGCCTCATTAAGGTAATTCAAAATTTTCACAAAGTAGGGAATCATAGTGTCATGAGACCACATATATCTATCAACCAGACTGAAAAATTTTGACAAATTATCATCCTTTCATCTATTTTTTTCTTCTTTTCTCTTGTTATGTTCATGCAAATCCCAAACGTTATATCTTTCTTAAATACATTGTCATTACCACCACATCTAATAAAGTATTCCTAGTATTACCTAACATGTAATTGAAACTCATATTTTCCTAATTGTACATTTACTTTGTATCAGGATCTAAAGTCTGCATGTTACTTTTAGTTCTGTTTTTTAAGGTTTTTGAATTTTTAAAAAATATGAAATTTCTTTTACCCCTCATGACCTCATGACCCATCTCACTCCTGATTTTTTTCCTTCATGACCTCAATCTGTTGAACAAATTCATTTATATTTTTCTTCCTCATTATATTTAATTTTTAATTCCCTATCTTTTCTATAAGCTTGAATCTAGTTATATAGGCATGATTACATTCAAATTCATTTTTTTTTTAATTTTTGACAGGCAGAGTGGACAGTGAGAAAGAGAGAAAGGTCTTCCTTTTTGCCGTTGGTTCACCCTCCAATGTCTGCTGCGGCCGGCTCACCGCGCTGATCCGAAGCCAGGAGCCAGGTGCTTTTCCTGGTCTCCCATGGGCTGCAGGGCCCAAGCACTTGGGCCATCCTCCACTGCACTCCCGGGCCACAGCAGAGAGCTGGCCTGGAAGAGGGGCAACCGGGACAGAATCCGGCGCCCCAACCGGTAGTAGAACCCGTTGTCCCGGTGCCGCAAGGCAAAGGATTAGCCTAGTGAGCCGCAGCACTGGCCTCAAATTCATTTTTTTATTCTCTGCATAAATACTTCCTACGTGATGGTTTTTACTTCAGTTGCAACACATCAGGATGTACAGATGTCTTGTTGCTCTGTTAGCATGCTGAAATTTGTCAGTAGGCCTGGGTTGTGACAGACTGAGGCTTTCATTGTAAGGTTCTCCATCAGCCTTTCCTCTGGTGGTTTCATCCTCTGATCCTTGCCTGAATTGATTATTTTAGTAGGACTTGTGTTCAGTGATATCTACACTTCTGTCATTCCTTTCACATTTATAAGCTTGATTTTTTTTGGTAGTGAAGTGCTTCCGTTTTATAAGCTTGAGCTGTTGTTTTAGATGGAAGAGGCAGAATGAACGTGGAATTCTTTCCCTTTAGTAATCGGTTAGCAGAAAGAGGAGTTGGTGCCCTAGTTTATGCAAGTGGTGGCTTTTGTTTGGTTTTGTATGTGTATACTCTCTCTAAATATCATTATGGACTTGTGGCTTTTTATTTATCCTTTGGGGATTGTTTCTTTTTAGTAATTTATTGTGATGTTTGAAGAAAGTGTCCTATCTTTGACTGTTAAGAGCTCTGGTGTCCGTTTGGCTCATTCACAATAGGCTTGCTAGCTTCTGTGCTTTCTGGTACAAGGTGATGACCTGGCATGTCCTGTGCAGTTCTTGCCTCAAAACTGGAATCAGATATTCCTTCAAAGTTGCCTAACTCCTCTTTAGGGCATAGTGATATTTAGAGACCACAATCTGGGTACCAGAGGTGCTTGTTGCTGTGGATTGAAATTGTTCACAGCCTTTGAAGAGTATTTAACTCCAGTTTTCGTATGTAGACTTGTAAGTATTTGAAGAAATTTTAAAAAGACGCAGATTCTTACATGTTCTGTGAGGAAAAATGTCGATTTTATAGAAAACTTGAAAAGTGATTTTGGGTCTATTATGTTAATTGTGAATAAAAGCCTTCGGATATGGATATATGTGTATCTGTAACTGAGTGGTATCGCCACCTCCCTAATAGGAAATGGCTAGTGATGAGCTCAAAGAAATGCGGAAAAACTTGACCAAAGAAGCCATCAGAGAACATCAGATGGCCAAGACAGGTGGAACGCAGACTGACTTGTTCACATGTGGCAAATGTAAAAAGAAGAATTGCACCTACACTCAGGTTTGAGATTTTTATAGACTCTTATTTTCATAGTAAGAATGCCTGCAGCTTCTGTTTCAAAGCACATAGCCAAGATACTTAGCAGTAGTTGGATATTTTTCAACAGGAGATATGATCTCTTGACATAAGAATGCTTTGTTATACTGATTCCAGTTAATTGAAAGTAAATAGATATTTTTATACTTTCATTGCAATAGTTACTTTGAAAGGTATATCAATTAAATAAAATTTATAAAATACAGGATGTAATAAAATGGACGTGTTCTTTTCTGAGAGTTTATAAGCATTTGATTATTGGTTGCTGTGTAAACAGAGTACAATACATTTTTATTTTGCGGAACTATATAATTGAAAGAAAATTCTTCACTTTCTGTCATGTGAAATGTGGGTACTTTAGGCTTAACTGGCTTCCAGATATTTTTTTTCCTTTCTATGACTCACTGATGATTTTTACATGTATGATATAACAAATCCTTTATTTCTTCAACAGCTGAAGAGAATCCTTTGCAATAGTTTGTTATTTTAGTTGTACGTGTGTAAGGGAAATTATTTTTTTCTCTATCTAAATTTCACATGCCAGCTAAGTTATTATATCTATAATTCACTAAACTCAGTATTTTACCCTTAAAGAACAACTTTAACTATAGAGAATTAATTTTTTTTTTTCACTGTTAGAAAATTAAGCACTTTAACAGCACTAAATTCTTTAAATTGTAGAAAGGAGCCTTTCCTTATTTTTGGGAATTTTTACATTTTCAAGGTTAAAAATTCAAAAGACACAAAAGATTATGAACAGAAAATTCCCTTCCCAACTTTTGCTAATAGCGCTTTATGTCACCTCCTGGAAGTAAAGCAGCATTATTAGTTCATTGTACAGCTTTCCACATGTTTTGTGTGTGCACATACAAAAAATGGTTTCTTTCTTTCTTTTTTTTTTTTTTTAAAGATTTGTTTATTTGAAATTACACAGAGAGAGGAGAGGCAGAGAGAGATCTTCACTCCCCAATTGGCCGTAACGGTCAGAGCTGTGCCGATCCGAAACCAGGAACCAGGAGCTTCTTCCGGGTTTCCCACATGGGTGCAGGGGCCCAAGCACTTGGGCCATGTTCTACTGCTTTCCCAGGCCATAGCAGAGAGCTGGATCAGAAGAGGAATAGCTGGGATTAGAACCGGCACCCATTTGGGATGCCAGCGCTTCAGGCCAGGGTGTTAACCTGCTGAGCCACAGCGTTCCCTGTTTTCCTGTTTTCTAAACACATGTGGCAGAATATTATGTGAGCTTCCGCCTCTTTTTAAAATTTTTTACGGATGTATCTCCATTTTAAAATATAGTTTAACTAGTCTAAACCTCTTTATCTCTTTTAGTCACCATTGTGGATCTGATATTTTAGTATTTCATTTTGTAGACATTTTATTACTGATAGTTAAATAGGTCAACATATAAGTAAAGTAGTCTCAGGAAATTCTGAGTTTGAATTGTTCTACTTTGTTTAGTCAGGTAGGAAAATCTCAGCAATAAAATTTTATCCCCAGAATGCTACATGGTGGAAAGTATTAAGTATAAATAGAAAGATATTTAAAGGTTAAGCCTTTTGGGGCCTATGTTGAAGCTCAGATGCCACCACTTATGATGCTGGCGTCCCATTTTGGAGTTCCCATGAGTCCTGGCTTTTCTGCTTCTGATCCCAGCTCCCTGCTAACATGCCTGGGAAAGCAGTGCAAGATGGACGAAGTGCTTGGGCCCCTGCCACCCATATGGTAGACCAAGATGGAGTTCCTGGCTCCTGGCTTCTGCTTGGCCCATTCCCAGCTGTTTTGGCCATTTGGAGAGTGAACCAGTAGATGGAAGATACTCATTCATTCTCCCTCCCTCCCTCCCGCTCTCCCTCTCTCCCTATTACCCTGCCATTAAAGTAAGTAAATAAATAAATCTTTTTTTAAGTGTTAAACTTTCTGAAAACAAAGTAGTTATATGTTTACATAATGAATTATAAATAGCTAAGATAAACATAAATGTCAGATTTTTTTTCTGTTAACAGAAAGAACCTAGTCAGTTAATATGATTTTTATAGGACCAAAAAGACTGTCTTTAAATAGAAAACTTATGAACTTCATATGAAAATGACAGAGGTGAAAAGAACTAAATGTGATTCTAAGTTACTATATACCTACCACAAGATTTAAAATTTTCACAGAGAGCAAAAGAGTCCTCATATCTACTTCTGGGACTCCAGACATCAATATTAAGTATATGTAAAACGTAGCAGAAAGACTTTTCAAGCAATTTTTGTCTGAAGACCTTAAGTAAGCAGAATATGGCTATTTTGAAAAGAGTGCTTCTTTATCTTCCTTTTGGGTGTTTGCTTTGAGTTATGTTTCCAATTTATGAATCTCATGAAGCTTCCGATTTGAGATTATGTTAAACTAGATTTCATCATCTCACACTAAATTGAAATATACCTTATTCAAAATGCAGTATTGTTAATATTTTGGTTTTTTGCCATAATTAGAAATGACTTAACTTTAATAATTCTTTGTCATCTTCTTCAGGAATGTATAGTTTATAAGAAGAATCTTTCTGTCTTTGAGACCTTTAGTTCTAGTAATTCTTTTCAGGGGAGAACTTCAGAAATCTGTACAGGGCGTGGTGCAGTGGGTTAAGCTGCCACTTGGGCGCCCACATTCCATATTGTAGTGCCAGTTTGAGTCCTGGCTGCTTCACTTCTGATTCAGCTTCCTGCTATTGTGCCTTGAAAGAAGCAGATTATGACTCAAGTATTTGAATTCCTGCCACTCATGCAGACGACCTAGGTGAAATTCCTGGCTCCTGGCTTCTTCATGTCCCAGACCCAACTATTGTAGCCTATTAGGAGAGTGAACCAATGGATGGAAGATTCCCCTCCCTCCCTCCCTCTCTTTCTCTTTCTCTTTCTCTTTCTCTTTCTCTTTCTCTTTCTCTTTCTCTCTCTCTCTCTCTCTCTCTCTCTGTCTTTCAAATAAATAAAAAATCTTTAATGCAGATTTTTAAAAATTATATAACTTTTCCCCAAGTTCTATCTTAATTTCCAATAAAACGCTTTAAAAATCTCTGTGTGTGTGTGTATGTGTCTATGTAAAGAAGGAGAAATAGATCTCCCATCCACTGGTTTCCTCCCCCAGTGGCAACAGCCAGTGCTGGGCCAGGCCTAATCCAGGAGCTAAAAACTCAGTCCAGGTCTCCCACATGGCTGGTAGAGACCAAACTACTTGAGCCATCACTTTTTTTTTCTTTAACTTTTATTTAATGAATATAAATTTCCAAAGTACAGCTTATGGATTACAATGGCTTCCCCCCCATAACGTCCCTCCCACCCGCAACCCTCCCCTTTCCCACTCCCTCTCCCTTCGATTCACATCAAGATTCATTTTTGATTCTCTTTATCTACAGAAGATCAGTTTAGCATACATTAAGTAAAGATTTCAACAGTTTGCTCCCACACAGAAGCATAAAGTGAAAAATAATTGATGATTTTTTAAATGATGATGAAATCAGAGCAGACCTATTGTCATGTTTAATCCCAGTGAGAGTCAAGTTGGGAATTGATAATTCCTTTCTTTTTTTTTTTTTTAACAGATCAGTTTAGCATACATTAAGTAAAGATTTCAACAGTTTGCACCCCCATAGAAATACAAAGTGAAATATACTGTTTGAGTACTCGTTATAGCATTAAATCTCAATGTACAGCACATTAAGGACAGAGATCCTACATGAGGAGTAAGTGCACAGTGACTCCTGTTGTTGACTTAACAAATTGACACTCTTGTTCATGGCATCAGTAATCTCCCTATGCTCCAGTCATGAGTTTCCAAGGCTATGGAAGCCCCTTGAGTTCTCCGACTCTTATCTTGTTTAGACAAGGTCATAGTCAAAGTGGAGGTTCTCTCCTCCCTTCAGAGAAAGGTACCTCCTCCTTTGAAGACCTGTTCTTTCCACTGGGATCTCACTCACAGAGATCTTTCTTTTCTTTTTCTTTTTTTTCTTTTTTTTTCTTTTTTTTTTTTTTGCCAGAGTGTCTTGGCTTTCCATGCCTGAAATACTCTCATGGGCTTTTCAGCCAGATTGGCATGCCTTAAGGGCTGATTCTGAGGCCAGAGTGCTGTTTAGGACATCTGCCATTCTATGAGTCTGCTGAGTATCTCGCTTCCCATGTTGGATCACTCTCCCCTTTATTTATTCTATCGGTTAGTGTTAGCAGGTACTAGACTTGTTTATGTGCTCCCTTTGACTCTTAGTCCTTTCATTATGATCAATTGTGAACTGAAATTGATCACTTGGACTAGTGAGATGGCATTGGTAGATGCCACTTTGATGGGATTGAATTGGAGTCCCCTGGTATGTTTCTAACTCTACCATTTGGGGCAAGTCAGCTTGAGCATGCCCCAAATTGTACATTGAGCCATCACTTGTGCACATAAGGAAGAAGCTGGACTGGAAAGCAGAGTTGAGATTTGAACCCACACATTCCAATATGGGATGCAGGCATCTGAAGCAATGACTTAACCTCTGTGCCAAATAACCACACATCTTTTTAATTTTTAAGAAAATTTTTGGTTATAGTAAGATATGCATAATCTAAAAATTACTGTCTTAAATTTTAAGTGTAAGTTGAATAATAGATGATACACAGTGCTGTGAATCCAGTCTCCAGAACCTTTCCTCTTGCAGAACTGATGACCATGGCACCACTTTTGTACTTTCTGTCTCTTATGAATTTGACTATTCTCTGTCTCTTCCTGTAAGTGAAATTTTGCAGTGTTTTTCTTTTTTAACTGGCTTATTTGACTAACTGTAACGTCCTCAGGGTTCATCCATGTTACAGCATGGTCAGAATTTTCTTCCTTTTTTGGGCCAAACGGTATTCTGCTGTATGTACACACCACATTTTGTTTATTCGTTGATGAACACTAGCATTGCTTCCACCTTTTGGCTACTATAAATAATGCTGCTGTGAACTTGTGAATACATACACCTCTTTGAGACTACTTCATTTCTTTTGTTTATCTGCCCAGTAGTAGAATTCTGCATCAGATGGTCAAGTTTTTTTTTTTTTTTTTTAGAGCAATTTAATAATATCCACTTAGAGGGAATTTGAAAATATAGAGAAGTAATAAGAAGTTTAAAAAATACTAACATATTTATTTGAAAGGCAGAGCTGCAGAGAGAGAGGTTGAGACAGGGAGATCCTCTATCTGCTGGTTCACTCCCCAGATGGTCACAACAGCTAGCGCTGGGCCAGGCTCAAACCAGTGGCTTCTTCTGAGTCTCTGATGTGGATGGCAAGGGCCCAAGCATCTGGGCCATCTTCCCCTGCTTTCCCAGGCCACCAGCAGGGAGCTGGATCATAAGTGGAGCAGCTGGGACACAAACAGGCACCTGTATGGGATGCTGGCATTGCAGGCAGCAGCCCACCCCACTTTGCCATAGTGTCAGCCCCAAGAAATTTTAAATCATCAATTAGTTTGCCATACAGAGAGAATAATTATCACTACTTCATTGTCTAAGACATTTTCTAATTTTTTTCCTAACTGTAGTTAAAACTAAAACTGTACAAACTTTCTGTACAGCTCTTTTTACTTACCTACTGTAATGTCAGCATGTTCCTCCTAATTATTTACAAATCCCCTTTGTAGACGTCTTAACAAATAATATTCCCTCAGATGGATGTTCTCTTATTTCCCTGTTAGATATTTAGGTTGTTTGCAGTATTTGTGCTATTATAAAATTACACTCTGGAAACATTCTTGCCTACAGATCCTTTGTGTTTTTAATTACCGTCTTGGAATAGATCAAACGTATCAAGTTCCTAGGTTATAGAGGATGGGTATTTAATATTCCTACTTTCTTGCTGCCTTAATTATTTTTAACTCCTTTATTTGAAAAAAAAATTTATTTATTTATTTATTTATTTATTTATTTATTTATTTTGAAAGAGTTACAGAGAGGCGGAGGCAGAGAGAGATCTTCCATCTGCTGGTTCACTCCCCAAATGGCTGCAATGGCTGGAGCTGGGCTGGTCTGAAGCCAGGAGCCAAGAGCTTCTTCCGGGTCTCCCAAGCCAGTGCAGGGGCCCAAGGACTTGGGCCATCTTCTACTGCTTTCCCAGGCCATAGTAGGGAACTGGATTGGAAGGGGAGCAGCTGGAACTCGAACCAGTGTCCATAAGGGATGCTGGCACTGCAGGCAATGGCTTTTGCCTGCTTTGCCACAGTGCTGACCCCACTGTCTTAACTTTTAAAAATGTTGGGGCAGTTATATTTGTCAAAATGAAATATTCTTTTATTATTATTATTATTATTATCATTATTACTATTTATTTATTTATTTATTTTGACAGGCAGAGTTAGAGAGAGACAGAGAAATGTCTTCCTTTTTCCGTTGGTTCACCCTGCAAGTGGCCGCTACGGTCTGTGCGTTGCAGCCAGCGCACTGCAACCGATCTGAAGCCAGCAGCCAGGTGCTTCCTCCTGAGTTTTAGATCTTTGCTAATTTATAAGATAATATTTATATATGTTTAAATTTTACATATTCTGTGCTTACTGGTGAATTCTTTTTCTTATTTACTAGCCATTTATAAGAAGTATTATGTCTGGCCAGTGCCGTGGCTCACTTGGCTAATTCTCCGGCTGTGGTGCCGGCACCCCAGGTTCTAGTCCCGGTTGCTCCTCTTCCAGTCCAGCGCTCTGCTGTGGCCCGGGAGAGCAGCAGAGGATGGCTCAAGTGCTTGGGTCCCTGCACCTGCTTGGGAGACCGGTAGGACATACCCGGCTCCTGGTTTCGGATCGGCACAGCGCTGGCCGTAGCGCCATTTGGGAGTGAACCAATGGAAGGAAGACCTTTGTCTGTCTGTCTCTCACTATCTATAACTCTGTCTGTTTCTCTCACTAACTCTGCCTGGCCAAAAAAAAAAAAAAAAAAAAAATGTCTGGCTTTAGATGATTTTCCCACTTATCTGAGATAAATTAAACATGACACATAAACAAGAAAAGAATTGAAAAAAATGAACTTTGGAAATGTTACTGTGCACTTTTGGCATGACAGCTTATTTGAATTTGTTTCAGGCTCTTTATATACTTTGTTATGGTACTGTTGTGGTTACTGTATATTTTTATGTAGAATGTTCTTATTTAGGTTGGATGTTTTTGTGGTACTGAATATATTAATCTGATATTCATTTGATTTTGCTTCAGGTGCAAACCCGTAGTGCTGATGAACCGATGACCACATTTGTTGTTTGCAATGAATGTGGAAATCGATGGAAGGTATGTTACCCTGTTGAATTCATATTATACACATTTATAATAGAATAACTTCTTCCCATCTTTTCATAAGTATACCTAGATATCTTAAAATAGGTACACACATGCTCACGCTGTCTTGTCTAAAACTCTGGAAATCTGATTAAGTACTTGTAATGTACTATTTTGTCCCCTTCTTGAAAGTAGAGTATATACTTGATTTTTACCACCTTAATCTGTTTTGATGCAGGAATAAATGTTAAGTGTTCAAGTACTTTATCAGTCCTGTATATGTTATTTTCATTAAATTATCTTGAGTCTTCTTTGTCCAGAAAAATCTGCACATGTTTATTTATTACCTGTTTAATAGATTGTGATTCTGAAAAATTTTCTTTACCTGTTGAATCAAGCCCAGTGATTTTAGTATTTATTTTAGTAATTACAGTTAGCACTGTGGTGGTTTATGTCTTGGACTTCCAAGCTTTCATATTACCTGTGTATTCTAGAATTAGCCCCACACAGGCAAATTTATGTCACTTAATTTTTGAGTGTTTTTTGTGAGCTATGAAAACAAGATTTAAAATTAGAGGAATTACACATTAGCCCACAGAACACTTTATTATTAATATAGATGGAGATGTTAGGGATGTGGGGTTGGGATGGTTTGGAGTCATAGACTGTTTTGAACTATTTTTCTACCTATTATCACTAAACTATAATTTTATCATGTATTAAATATAAATATTATCTGTATTTCAGTTGTGATGAGGAGTAAGGATGATAGATTTAAAATGCCTGAAGATTATCAATGTTCCAAAAATACTCGCTATTTTTATTAGTTTTTATGAGCTTTGTACAAGATTTTTTTTATCCCAGTTATACTTAACATAAACATTTCAGTTTAATGCTCACTTGGGTTATTTTTGCAGTTTAAAGCATTTTCTGAATATCAGAAGTAAATTGGGATCCAAATATCTTCCACAAATTTGGCTTGGGAATTTGGCCCTATATGCTATTTAAGGGATGGGGCCATACCTATTAATTTATGTACAAAAATTTCGTTCTGTACAGATATTTGGAATGTCTTCATGGTTAGAAACAGCGTCTCCCACCTTTCTGAGTTGGTAGAAATTTTTTACGGGTCTTGGAGAGGGACATTAGCCTTTTCTTTTATCCCATTCTGTTTAACAAACTTGGCTTTTCCAGAAAACTCTCTCAGATTTGTTTTGTGTGATATATTATCATATTGTTATGAATGTTTATAGTACAGTTTGTTTTGAGTACAGAGAGTTGCTGCAAAGTTCTGACATAGTACCTATTGTATTTAAGAAAGTTAAGCTTAATGTAGAAAGCTGATGCCTAAGACAGAATATTCTAGAAGTTAAAATTTGGAACTGCTTTTTTTTTTTTTTTAAACCTGAAACCATTAAAAGACATACTTAATAAAAAATGCTAGAAGTCTTTTAACTAGTTTTTTTTTTTAATTACACGTTCTTATGAGTCTAAGTTGGGAAAGCCAAGCACTTAATATAGGTTGACTGTTTTATGTGAAAAATATAGCATATTTAAAAAAAATTTTGGTTGGTTTAAAGCAGTGTAAGATATATGCTCTATTAAATGAGGGGAATATACCTCCATTCTTTGTATTTAAAAGCCTAACAAAGTATTTCTTCTTTTTTTACAGTTCTGTTGAGTTGGAAGAATTGGCAAAATATCTGGACCATTAAGAAAACGAATTTTGTAATTAGCTTTCAAACTAGGCCAAGCAACTAGTTTTCCTGCAAAACAAATTTTTAAAGCAACATACATCCCTTGGATTAATCTGTTTTCAACTGAACATCCCTTCCTTTAAATGCCTTTTGTAGTCAGATCAGTAGGGCCACCATATATTAATTATATGGCATCTGTTTTATAAGTAAGTTGACATTAAACTTTCATCAGTTAAACTTTCAGTAATTTAAGGTTTTTTTCTCCTTAAAAAAGTTCTTTAACTTTTACATTCTGAAACATACACAGTAGATATTTTCTGTCACTCTGTTAACCCATAAATGAAAATTACATTGTTTTCTATATTGGCATGTACTTACACCAGATATTACAGGAATATAAAAGGTAATATAATTTTAAGTTTACCAAATATGGTGTGTATTCAAATGATACTTGACCAGCTTATCTAAATTGTATATAATATTTGAACTAGCACATGAATTTGATTTTAATTATTCACAAGCCTGGATAATTAGATATTATTTTGCATCTGTAACTAACCATGATCATCATTTCTTGTATATGTATATTACTTGTTCTTAATAGATTTTACTTTTGGAAATATGACTTGACTTTGTTGAAATCAGTTTGGTTTTGTTGTTTATTTACCTGTTTAACTTCGTAGTGTATTTTAGTTTTGCAGAAACCACCTTTGTAGTTCAGTAGGATTTTCATAAATGCCCTCACAGGCGAGGAATAAAAGCTTCGGATGATTTTCCCCCCTCATGGGAAGACATACTGAGAAGAAAATGTTAGTATCTTAGTATAGGGTAGTTATTGTAAACAGCTCATGACTCGATTTTGATTTGGACATTTATACTGACCAAGGATTAAACGTAAGGATTGTATAAAATAATTAAAGCTGTGGTCTTTAACTATAAAAGTTGCTAGAAAATATTTTTGTCCTGAGTCTTATTTGCTAACTTTTTGTTACATGATGATGAATAAGGTTGTTGAACAAACTGAAAATATGGACTGTCGCAAGTAGTTTTATGATAAAAGTGTTACTTTCTATTTAGATAAACACCATTTGTTCTGGTTAAAATAAGGAAAAAAAAAAAGTGTACCCTAGAGTATACTTGTTGTAGAATATCTTAAGGCCACTGTGGCAAAGTCTGTGTTCCATTGTGCTGGATGCATTCTGTCAGACATGTGTAGAAAGACTTCGGTATGCGCTTTGCACTCTCCTTTGCCCTCCTTTTCCCATTTCCTCTTATAAGTCATTTTGATGTATTAGAGAAAACATTGAAAGGGCCCAGCAGTACACCTGTGCTTTGTCAGTTCACAGATGACTCTGTTTTTATCATTTTAAAACCAAACAAGTTTTTGACAGAGTGAATTTAAGAATAATAAAAATAGTCCCACTTTTAAATTAAGTGATCCATTTTAAAATTTGTAATTCAATAAAGATTTTTGTTGTTATTAAATATGTATGACATTTTGTCATTTTTATTTATCCTATGTTAAAAATTTACCCTTTCTTGGAGCTGTGGTGCAGTGTTAAGCCTCTACTTGGAACACTGGCATCCCATATTTGAGTGCTGGTTCAGGTCCTGATCCAGTGCTCTGCTAATGTGCCTGCTAAGGCAATAGAGAATGAGCCAAGTGCTTGGGCCCCTGCCTTCTATGTGAGGGGCCTAGATGGAGTTCCTGGCCAAGATTTGTCTTTGGTAACCATTGGGGAGTGAACCAGCAGATGAAGACCTTTCTTTCTCCCTCTCCTCACTTCCCTGTTCCCCTCTGTCCCTCCCTTCTTCTCTTCTTTTCCTTAAATAGGTAAGTAAAAAAATAAATTCTTTAAAAAAAGAAAACCTTTTCTCCTCTCTTCACTCAGCTACTAAGTATGTTCAAAGTACAGTTTTAATTAATTGAAGCATTATCTTGGTTAAGTAAAAAATGAGTATTGAGCAGTAGTACTGGTACAGTAGCACAGTGAATCCCTGGTGATCAATAGAACAGTGTTTCTGAGTAGACAGGTGAATGCATCTTTATGTGCATTTATTGTGTTGAGTCTTACTATTGAAGAACACTAAGCAGCTATAAAGTAATTTGGAAGGAAACCCTATTAAGAGTATGTTTTGGCCAGCGCTGCGGCTCACTTGGCTAATCCTCCGCCTGTGGTGCCGGCACCCCGGGTTCTAGTCCTAGTCAGGGTGCCGGAATCTGTCCCGGTTGCTCCTCTTCCAGTCCAGCTCTCTACTGTGGCCCAGGAAGGCAGTGGAGGATGGCCCAAGTGCTTGGGCCTTGCACCCGCATGGGAGACCAGGAGGAAGCACCTGGCTCCTGGCTTCGGATTGGTGCAGCATGCCTGCCACAGTGGCCATTTGGGGGGTGAACCAATGGAAAAAGGAAGACCTTTCTGTCTCTCTCTCTCTCTCACTGTCTAACTCTGCCTGTCAAAAAAAAAAAAATATGTTTTATAATAGTTACTTCCAGGACAAAGTAACTGTTAAATGAACATGTAAGGGGATTAAGTTAGGCGGATAATGAACTATCCTGGAAAAGTGGAAAATAACATCATTGACTTTCTTGTTCACCTGAGAGTAGAGGAGCATTGATGTACAAATTTTGCTAAAAACAAGCCAAAAGTTCTGAAATATTTATATATACCCTAACATATATATACCTAATAAGTGGAAAGTATTTAAAATATTAACAAGGCAGCAAAAGAAATAACAGGCTATACTTTGAATTTTTATACCTATACATTTGTCCTCAAAGGTTGAAATATAATTTGAGAATTTGAATTGGCTTCTCAATACAAAAACTACAGTTAAAAAGTTGTGATGTTCACCAGTTCCCTACCCTCCCCCTATTTTACTGTAGAAAATTAGTCATTCAAGAGGAATTAAATTCCCTTCTGGAAAATGTGGGGACAGTCATTTGATGGAATTACCAGTGAAAGCTGCATTTCAGAAAGTAAGCAAAGTGCTACCTTTGAAGATCCTAATTCATAGGAGACTGACAGATTCTTGAGTAGTAATGGAAGAATTGTGTTCAAGAACAGTTAAGTAACTTGAAGTCACTCAAAAGTAGTAGTTCTCATGACCATGGCTGTGTCACATTACCGATAGCTATCAGTAAAAGTGGAGCAAGTTCTTATGGGAAATTTGTTCACATCTGAATCTTCAGCACCCACAAGAATGCCTGTTCCACGGTAGGAGTAGTTTTTTGTGGTGGTATTTATGTCGGTGCATTACAGTTTCTTCTTGGCTGCACACTTGGCTGCACAGAGCTAAGGTGTAAGGAGTGTTCCACACATTGAGGACCTACAGAGGTAGGATAGATTAACTATGGGTTGGTAATGTTTTACACTCTTAACTTTAAAGGAAGAATTGTAATGAGCTAGAGTCTTAAGAGATCCCTTCGGGGCCTTTAATTCTGTGAAGTGATGCAACAGTTTTATTAAATGATTTTTTGCCCCAGATCAACCTGTGTACTCTTGTTTGTCCAAATGGAGAATGGAAAATGAAAGCACAGGTAACCACTTCAAATGCTTCACATTCTTTGATTCCTCTCCCTGATACTATATAAAGACAGTTAACTATCTTTTTGTTTCCTTAATGAACATGACTGCAACAATAAAAACACAGTTCATATGTGCTATGCCACTGAGACTGATTATCCTTCACCCTTCCATGGATGAGTTAACGTTGCTTTGAAATAAAAGTTGCACTTTAATCTTTCTTTTAAATTAAAAAAATAAAAATTGTGTAATAATTTGAAACTATAGCTGATTTAAAAAGACAGGAGAGCACTGGAATTTGGGATGACATAGCTACAGTTTTTATCTGGCAATAGTACCCAAATAATTTTCTGATTGATTTAGGGGCACCTTTTCCCTTCCATGTTACCCTGGTGGGTCTCCAGTGTCCCATCCCACCCTGTTCTTCTCTGAGATTATTATGTATTTCAATGATAGCTGTAACTGGGTCTCCCTACCCCAGTTTGCCTACGCTGTGCAGATTTGTATGTGATGAAGTGGAGGGAAACTGGTATGAAGAAAGCCATGACAATATCAAATTGAGCAGTGTGGGTGTTAGCACTACCATGGGCTTCTTAGGAAAGCAAAGCCATTTGCTTTCCTCTTAAGCTCTTTTAAGACAGTTTTGTATCATAAGCAACTGGAAAAATCCTAAATTGTTTTGAATGAATACTTAAAGAAATTTTTGATATCAGAATGTCAAAAGTTATAAGAACACTGCAAGGACTACCAGTTCATCTACAGAAGTTTCTATTAGAGTTATGGGTCAATACTGGACTGATTTATGTCAGGATGCCATTGCTGATCTGTTTGAAATTAAGTTTTTATTCTGGATGGTAACATAGAATCTTGCCAATAACAAAGTTAAGTGTTCAGTGTTAACTAAGCACAAAGTTTATAATATTTCTAGAACCTGTTCATCTTGCACAACTGAAGTTTTATACCCACTGAGCAGTAACTCACCATTTCCCCCCATCAAGTTTCACCCATCATTGTAATCCCTAAGTCCTGTCAGAAATGACAGGATTTCCTTCTATTCTATGACTGAATATGTAGGTTTTGTGTGTGTGTGTGACAGAGTTATAGGCAGTGAGAGAGAGAAAGGACTTTCTTCTGTTGGTTCACTCCCCAAATGGCTGCCACCTCCAGTGCTGTGCCGATCTGAAACCAGGAGCCAGGTGCTGCTCCCTGGTCTCCCATGCAGTTGCAGGGCCCAAACACTTGGGCCATCCTCCACTGTCCTCCCGGGCCACAGCAGAGAGCTGGACTGGAAGAGGAGCAACTGGCACTAGAACTGCCCATATGGCATGCCGGCATTGCAGGCGGAGCATTAACCAAGTGAGCTACGGCGCCACCCCACCCCCACTTTTTTTTTTTTTTTTTTAAAGATTTTATTTATTTGAGAGGCAGAGTTAGAGAGGGAGAGACAGAAACTTCTGTCTACTGGCTCTCTCCCAAAATGGATGCAATGTCCAGAGCTGGGATGATCTGAAGCCAGCAGCCAGGAGCATGGGCCATCTTCCACTGCCCTCCCAGGCCATAAGCATAGAGCTGGATCTGAAGGGGAGCAGCTGGGACACGAACTGGTGCTCGTGGGATGCTGGTACCTCAGGCAGAGGCTTAACCTACCACACCACAGCTCTGTCCCCTGTAGGTTGTTGTTGTTGTTTAATATTTATTTGTTTGAAAGGCAGAGAGAGAGAGAGAGAGAGGTCTTCCATCCACTAGTTCACTCACCATTTGGCTGCAATGGCTGGAACTGCTGATCTGAAGACAGGAACCAGGAGCTTCTTTCTGGTCTCCCACACAGGTGCAAGGTCCCAAGGACCTGAGCCATCTTCTGCTTTCCCAGGCCATAGCAGAGAGAATTGGATCGGAAGTGGAGCAGCGGGGACTCAAACCGGCACTCATATGGGATGCTGATCAACTTTACCCTCTACACCACAGAGTCCCCCCCGCCCCGTAGTTTTTTTTTTCCTGTTTATTTTCATCTACGTGAAAGAGTGACGAGAGATTTTCCATCTGCTGGTTCACTCCCCAAATGCAACAGCCAGGGCAGAGATAGGCCAAAACCAGGTGCCCAGGTCTCCCTTGTGGGTGACTGTAACTGTTACTGGGCTAGCTGCTGCCTCGCAGGATGCATTAGCAGGAAGCTGGATTGGAAGTCAAGCATCCAGAACCTGTAACTGGCACTCTCATTTGAGATATGAGCTACCCAATCAGTGGTTTCACTTCACCACAACACCTGCCCTTGATGACACAGTATTGCATTGAATATGTGAATACCTCATTTCCATTATCCAGCAGTCCATTGATGGATATTTAGGTTGTTTCCACATCATGGCTATTGTTATGATACTCCAATAAATAGGAGTATATGTTTCTCTTTGAGATACTGATTTCAGTTCTTT